CTTCTCTTGCCTCGGAGAAAGTTTACTATAGTTGGGAGGCATGCGGTGTTTCACTGTGCAGAAAGGGCTTTGCAATTAATTCACAAAACCAATCTAACGGCTCCACACCTTCTTTCCAAATCTCCCTCTGCCCTTTACCTGGGGTAGCTTGGGATCGTTGATGTCCCAGGTTAACTTCATTCCAAAGGAACAGATGTAGTTAGATTCATCAAAAGGTGCCTTTGACATTTTCACCATGAATCTAGAAGAACCTCCTTATTAAAAAAAAAAAAGATATTAGGTGCTTCTCTTGTTCCATCATTTGGAGATAAGGTTTCATTTCAGATTGTTAAAAAGCTCAGTAATATTCTTTCTGGTCATGAGATTTTTTCCTGAATCATACAGTTAGGACTGTTTAAAAACATTGGACAAGTTCTTTGCACTAACAAATAACATTTTGTACCGGTCATATAAATCTATAGAAATGAAAACGGTCACATAGTTTTTCCTTAAGCACAAGTGCACAACAGTTGCTCATGAACATAGTTTAGTGCTGCACATCAAGTTGGTGTTTACTCATACATCCAGTTTATAATGTAAATTCATATAACAATAATTTATGTATATATTTTAATGTATATACATACTGGAAGTTATGGCAACACATGTGCACACACATACATATACACATGTACAGTTTTATGCATGGTCAAACTAGGTCAGGTATAATGTGTGAAACTATCCTGCAGGCTATAATATTACAGTCCATAAGAATGAATTCATGTGTCAAATATATGCACACATTATATATTGTCTGGAACAATGGCTGAAAAAATTAGTGGCTAATTTGCCTTGAGGCCGTAATTATATTATAATTCAAATTTCCATATATATATGATTGAACAATTGTTCATTGGTTTTAATATATATAATAAATGGATTATGACTGAACAATTGTTCATTTGTTTTAAAATCTACCTGTAGCAAACTTAGATCTCTTTTCCTCAGTAATAGTTACCAGTTAGCTAAGAAAGAATTGCTGTCACCTGCATATATAACTAAAGGTAAAGCATAGGCAATGAAATCTGAGAGAACAGTAGCTTTCTTAAATATAGGTAGTGAATTCATGACTAATGCGAAATTTGAACTGGCTTCCATTTTTGCACTACAGCAATTTCTCTGAAATACAGATTAGTATGAGGACATAGGATTCAGATGAATCAGACTCATATCTGTACTCAGTCAACAATTTACAATTTCTCAGCAAAATCTATGCCAGAACTATGAGGATAAAATAGAGGGAGGAACAAGGAAGAGAAATGAAAGCCTGTGCAGGCAAACCACCTTCAAAACTTTAAAAGGAAGACAGGAAGAAAACATAACTAGCCAGTTTGGTCTAGTGGTTAAGGCACCAGGCTAGAAACAGGAGAATCTGAGTTCTAGTCCTACTTTGGGCATGAAAGCCAGCTGGATGACTTTGGGCAGTCATGCTCTCTCAATCCCACTCACCTCTTCTCCTTGTTGTGGGGAAAATAGGAGAATGAAAGAGTAATAGATATGTTCACCACCGTAAGTTATTTATAAAAAATAATGAAAGCTGGATAAATAAAAATAAATAGCAGCAGCTCAGTTTTTTACAGTATGTGTAGAAGTGAGTGGGTGTATGTGAGAAAGGAGCAATAAAATATTTAGAAAAAACTTTTCCAAAAGACCTGTTAGTATATATAAATGCTTCTTGGGAATAATTAACATAAGAGAATTTCTTCTTAATAAGCATGCATAGATTTTCACAGTCAGGTATAACTTTGTGAACTTGCCTTGAAGTTCTGCACGTTGTTGTCCACTTACCCTTTCATAAATGCCTTGCCTCTGTCCGCTGCCAGCAGTGCTGAAATCCGCCGGAGACTGCACTTTCCTTCCTGAGCTTGGCTTCAAATCTGTTCATACTAGCAAGGGCATCTTTTTTGTCCTCAACTTTCACCCTCCCACATACCTTTCTCTGCTGTGTTGAAAGCACGTCAGTGGCAGCTCCTCCCTGATTTATTCCACAAGTTTTCAAGCACTAAGTACTGCTGATCTACAAACCAGTCAGCTAGAGCTATGTCATCTGAGAGAGAAGTCATGATCCTGAGACGAAGTACATTTCTTTCATGTATTTAGAGTGTGAAGGCCCCAAAAGGAACATAAAGCATTTTCATTGTGATCCACAAACAGTTTGACCCTTTCTACTTGGGCTTAATTATTGGTTGTTCCAGACCTCCTTTACACCTTGAAAACTTGAAGACAGCCCACAACTGCTTACAACTGAACATCTCAGATGTGTTGGGTTATCATTATCTCCAATGAGCAAAGTCATTAGAAAGCAAGGCAAGTTGAGTATGCTATGGATAATACAACATATGGATCTATAATTTAAGGGTGCTTGACTGGGAAAAGAACAAGGAAATGGCCTGCAAGAACTTAAATATATTCCTAATTTCAGTGTGTGTATATGTAAAAATGAGCGTCATATTGACTTTAATGGAACTTAACTCACAATCCTTTATAATAGTTTTGGGGCCTACCTGTTTTTTAAAAAATAAATTCCCAAGAAATATAAAATGTTTATAGATCCTCAAATACAGCATCTACTTAATGATACAGTAAAAGGGACTTTAATGAACAAGTTCCTCCAAAACATGTCCCTCCCCTCTCTCTCTCACACACACCGCAAATACATAGGGTGTATATGTTAATATGTGGAGGTTTTAATTTTTGTTTATAAGAAGCATTCAGAAAGCTTCAGAAATATAAATACAGACTTGGATAACTTGATAAGAGGTAGATTATCTTCTTAATCTTTAATCATTACCGACTTTCCCAGGAGTGTCAAAACACTGGAAAGTGTTGGATACAAAGTATTAACCTCTTAAGTAAACCTTACTGACTATATTACATTGTCTGTTTGGTAAGCCTGGCAATTTTAGAATGGGATTAAGAGCATCGTAATCTTTAAATTTGAGATAATCAGTAAAACAGCAGATACAGAATTGTACCCTCCTCAGGAAGAAGAAATTGCCAGTTCTAAAAATAAGGGTGGGATATCTAAATTATATTAGATCAAATTATGTAAAGCATTTTAGGCAAACCTAACTAGAATTATGAGAGCCAGTTTGGTGTAGTGGTTAAGACAACTGGCTAGAAACCAGGAGACTGTGATTTCTACTCCCTCCTTAGGCATAAAGTGAGCTGGACGACCTTGGGCCAGTCACTTTCTCTCAACCTTAGGAAAGAGGCAATGGCAAATCACTTCCGAAAAAACTTGCCAAAAAAAGTGCAGGGACTTATCCAGGCAGTCTCTGAGAATTGGACATGATTGAATGGAAGAAAAAAAATAGAATCTTAAACCTTCATACCTAGCTAGCATTCTTTACACGAACCAGAGCTGAGGTCTTCAACAGTCTGAAGGAAATAAGATGAGTGTAATATTCCTATGCAATTAATGACATGAAAGATTTGTAGCCTTGGCTGCTATACAATTTTAATGGTTTGAGTCAATTTAAAATCCTCTCCTCCCTCCCTCCTACATATCTTAAATCTGAGAGTCCAATGTTCAAAATCCAGTTCAACTAAAAAGTTTGGACATGATCAAATGATAGCTTTAGACAATCATAATCTTGTAAAACTGGACAGAATTCCTAAAACGATAGGGGGGGAGGGAGTAATCACAAATGCAATACAAAACACCAACATAGTGCTTCCTCACTTGCAGTTTTCATCAGACCAGATCATCTTGGCAATCCCTTTGTTCTCCTTTGATCACACAGTGCTGGCCTTATCTCAGATGTTTTTGCTCCTTCTGTTCCCAAAAAGAATGACTTTTCCTGGTTTAAGTCCAAAGGATCTCACTGCAACCAGAAACCACTATGCACTTCTGGGCAGATGAGGTCAGACGATCTGTTGAAGAGGCATGATTTGACCTGTGACAGTCACAGGCAGAGGAGGGAGAATACCAGTCATGGCATTGGCCAAACAATGACTAATTATTGTCCTGAAAATATTAGCCTCCAGTCTATGAGGACAAGGTGTTTGCTTCCAAAACATCACTAACACAGGCCACAAGCCATACTGCACAATCCAGCTAATGGCACTTATTCTTCTACTCAGAGCCAATTTTGTGCAGTGGTTAAAGGCATCAGGCTAGAAACCAGGAGACTGTGAGTTCTAGTCCTGCCTTAGGCACAAAACCAGCTGGGTGTCTTTGGACTTGTCATTCTTTCTCAGCCTGAAGAGAGGCAATGGCAAACACCTTCTGAAAATTGTCACCGTGAATGAAGATAAAGGCACCCAAAACAAAATTCACTGCTAGTGTGGATGTTGGGTGGCATCTGTAACTGCTACTGAGAAAAAATCACAAAGTGTAGCTTCATAGTAGCCAGCCAATGAGCAGTAGAGCCATTAGTGTTTCTGAATCTGAAGTCCAGATTCAAATTACCACTATGTTGTAAGGCTTATTGAGTGAAAGGTTCCAACTGGCCCCTTCTCCTAAGCTATGACATGCATTCTGTAAACAAAACAGGCACATGCACAGCTTTTTCAAAGGCAGCAATAAATATAAGTAATAAATAAGAATACCAGACTGGGAGACCTAAAAACAATTTGTATCATTCTTATACACAAAAGCTGTCCTAAAAATGGAAGTGTGGCAATAATGGAAGTGTGGAATATTATTGTTCATTTAATTTGCAATACATCTTCTTTAAATCTGCAACAAACTATTCTGTTAATATTCCCATCACACTAATATGAGCAACACCCCTCTAATAATGAAACAAAAGGATCTTAACATATTGGAGAATGTTTGGTTGAGAACCCAGGCTTATTTGACTGAATCAGCATCTGTGATTTATCTGTGATTCAAGAGTGTTTTTACTTTTGGATATGTCATATATTTTTCCTGCAGCATTTTTCTTGCTGATTTGTATTCCTGTGTCCCACTAGTATCATCCAATGACTTCCTAAGCACACTTACTTAAGAAGCAATGGCTATCGAATCCAAAACTACAACTTTTTCCAAGGTACGCGCAATTGCATTTTAACTTGAGAGTAACTTCGCTGAATTTGTTGAATTGCTTTATTATAGCTGTGCCCTTTCTCTCCCTTTCCCCCCACAGGCTTCCCCCCACGGAAGCCTCTCCCCTTCTCCCTGTGGCCTTCTCGCTCCTTCGTTCTCCTCCCTTTCCCACCAAAACTTCCTCCCTTTTCAGTGTTTCTCAACCTTGACAATTTTAAGGCATGTGGACTTCAACTCCCAGAATTCCACAGCCAGCAATGCTGGCTGTGGAATTCTGGGAGCTGAAGTCCACATGCCTTAAAATTGTCAAGATTGAGAAATACTGCATATGCTCTCCTCTCTCCCCACCTCCGGGCGCGCCACTCTCTGGGGCTCAAGTAGGGCGTCGGTCGCTGCCCCAGTCTCAACTCCCCTCCATGCGGTCACCCACTGCCCGGCTGGCCATTGCACGCAGCGCTGCCGAGCCACCGCAGCTTCAAGGCCTGCGTGCTGCTCCCGGCTTTTAGCCGAGACTTCCAGCAAGCGCTGGTCAGCTGGAGCCGCGCGCGCCGAACCCTGGGCCTCAACAGAGCCCCGGCAACACGGCAGCTCCAGCCGACTGTCCTCCAGGCCTGTGCGGCGCTGCTGCCGCCCCTTCAGTTCACCCTCCCGCTACATTTCTAACCCGTATGGTACTTCACGGAGGTTGCAGCCTTCTCCTGCGCCCGAATAAACGGAGTTGCGCGGCAAGTGCTGCACTTCAGGATAAGTTCAGGCAAGGAGAACAGTGATTTACTCTTTTATTTGCAAATTCCAACCCACTACTTTGCAATTCAGGCGGCTTAGACGGCGGGGTTAGCCGTGCTGCCCAAGCGGCCAAATTCCCCTGTGACAAACAAGACCAGTTTTATGCTCCCAGATGCGTTTGAACTGCAATCCAGGATTTCTTGCTGGTTAGGAAATATGGGCGTTGTCGTCTCAACGCGCTTGGGGCGGACGCTATGCTGGAGAAGTAGGAAGGTATTTTGTACTTGGCGGCGTTTCGTCTTTGGTGGTACTACTGGTATTTTGGGGCTGGGATACTAAAGGAGTAATTAGTTAGAGATTGTTTTTCTGTTTCAAATTGGAACCATTCGAGGATTAGAGACGACTTTCTTACCTCGTTTAAGTGCTGTTTTTAGAGAAGCTGGTTAAGAACACTTTGGCCTTAGAGTATTCATATGACACGCCAAGAGCCTAGCACCATTTAAGGGTTCTTCAGTGTGGATTGGGCGTTTCTTGGAGGCCGTAGAAGAGGGTCACAGCAGCTTTGTTAGTTGATTATGCTTATGCAGGCAAAGTAGCAGAACAAGTCAAAAATTTTCCCTGCAGAAATCTGGAAAGAGTGATTCTAGTACTGCAAACTTAAATATTGTGATATCTAGAATACAGTACTGGTAGTCCTCGAGTTACAACCACAGTTGGGCCCCAAAGTTATGCTGCTAAGTGCAATATTTGTTAAATGAGTTTGCCCCATTTTACGACTTTTCTTGCCACGATTGTTAAGTGAATTATTGCATTTGCTAAGTTACTAACATGGTTGTTAAGAATCTGGCTTCCCCATTGACTTTGCTTGTCAGAAGGTTGCAAAAGCTGACGACATGACTCCGGGACACTGTAACTGTCATAAATATGAATCACTGGCCAAGCATCTGAATTTTGATCATGTGACCATGGGGATGCTGCAGTGGTCATAAATGTGAGAAAGGGTCATAAGTCGCTTTTTTCAGTGCCGTTGTAACTTTGAATGGTCATTAAATGAACTGTTGTAAGTCGAGGACTACTTTTAATATAGAATTATTATAAGTAGTATGTCTATTTCTTGCCTAGCTTTACTTTCAGTGGAATCAGTATTTTTATTCTTGGAGGGAAAAATTTGCACAGTCATTTATCAGTTAGAGGTGCTATGGTGCAGCCAGATTTGAGAACTCTTGCCCTAAAAGCAGTCTGTTTCAAAGTTGGCTCATTGGAACCCTGGAATTTCAGAAAAGATCCTGATTGTCAAAAAAGAAGCAGCCTTTTTGGACTGCCCAATACCAGTGCTTGCAGTGGTGGATATACTTATGCTGCTGGCCTGCCACAATTTTACAAAACATTATAAAATTGTGGCTTGTGTGGATTAGAAGTAAATTATTTCGAAGTTTTTGTTTTTGTTTTCATTTCTCTTGTTTAGGTATTATGCCATTTTGTTTTATATATTAGTGCTTGTAGAGTAGAATTTTGTCCTGCTGTATAAGGTGAAGAAAAGGTAGGATTTTTATTAAAAGGAAAAAGAAAAGTCTTCTCTACTATACTGATTTACATTACAGCTGGTAACTTTTGTGGAGGAGAGAGAATCAAATAATCTACTGAAAAATATCAGTCTCTGTTCAAAAGAGAGTTGACAATTATGATTGTATTATTATTTTTGCAATTTACTGATCATGTTAGCATATTGAGCTCTAGATATAATACATTTTATGCAGGGGTTCCCCAAGAGCTGAAAATTATTTCAACAGTTATTCCTGAGGAAAAAGTTTGAGAAAGTCTGGCATAAAGTTTTCTGGAAACCAGTCCAATTAATAGATTGTGTGAACAGAGAAAACTGGCTTGGGTAAGCCATGGTTAAGCATGGATAAGTACCTTTTAACTTAATGTAATCAGTTTGGATCAATTTATTATTTTGGAGTGAGTTTGGTAAATTCAGGAAGGATTCTCCTCCCATCTATTCCTAAATTAATTTATTAAGCATTGGCTGGATATTGCTAATTTTTATATGCATAGCAGTAAAGGTTTTTTCTACTTTCATAATCTAAAGGAGGAAGATATCAGAGAGGAAGAGGAAGAAATGGCAGACATAACTGAATATTATGTAAATATTAAATTTTCACTAAATTGTTAAATCATTTTAAATATAAAAGTATAAACTGTTTTAGAATCTTTTTTAGGATAACTATTTTAATATGGTCAGAATTATATTGACACAGATTTAAGAATTCAAAAACAATTTGATTCAATTGAGCTAACATGGTATCACAAGACAGAACCTCTTCTGCTATTCAGTGAAAACATTGTACACATTTATTTATTTTTTCTGGAAAAAAGAATGATAACAATATGATGGCAAAAACACAAGGGTTGCAAAAAAAATTCTCACCCTCTAATCACTTGCTAAAATTCTATGAATGTCAATTGTTAAACATTTCAAAGAAGTCTGAGTTTTTCTATAATTTTATCTTTGTGTTCATATTACTCTGAATAAACCACTTTCATTATTGAATCTTAGTGGAAGATTTTGCTGATATTTTTACATGTTACCTGGATTGTGCATGTTCATTTTTCTCCTGGCTTGAAAGAGTCCTCCAAAATAATTTAATCCTACCTTTTGAGTCTGTTACTTTATCCTAGAAATATGGCCACCCAGTCTGGATTGATAAATGTCTACTGAAAGTGAGGTATCCCTCTCATTAAGTCATATGTCCTCTGTATTCTGCTCTGGCAGAATGATCTTGAGATGATCTGGGGACTACCAAAATGAGGCTTTAGGCCTGTGGGATTCCCACCATTGCTATTAAATGCTGGTTTCCAGCTTTCAATTAAGATACCTTGTGCATGAATCTCTCCTATTTATGTATATTATGCCAGGCTTGCGATTAAGATAGTAGGCTAAGTTTGGGGAAATCCCAGTTCTAATCCATAATTAGCCATGGAAAGTCTCTGGATGACTTGAGGTTAATTGCCCTTTTTCAGCCCAGCCTACTGTACAGAGTTGCTATATGATAAAATGAACAAGAGTCTCCAAAATAGAGGCTTTGAAGGCTTGAAGAAAAAATGTAGTTTAAAATTTAATAGTAATAAAGTATAAAATTTTACTATAGCATATCACGCTGCTGGAATGAAGCAGATGTTATGTAAATTTGTCATACTTTTCATACATTTTCTAAGTAACGTTGTAACTGCCCAGAGTCACTCTGGATATTGAGAGGGATGGCATATAAATTTAATAAATAAAATAGTAATGATATTGGTATGTTTAGTGGATGAGTATAGCAGAAACAACTTTCCCCAAAAAACTCTATGGAAACTATTTTTAGAGGTTAGGGTTAGGGTTAGGTTACATTCATACAATTTTTGTTTTTTATGAGATAAATGAGATTTAATTCCAAGGGGGTATTGAAGTAGATCTGATACATGCAAATTAAATAATTGAAACTGATTTTTATGGGCCTAGCCCAGTGTTTCTCGACCTCGGCAACTTTAAGCTTTGTGGACCAATTCCATCATGCTGGCTGGGGAACTCTGGAAGCTTAAAGTTTATAAGACTGAGAAACACTGACCTAGCCTAATCATGTCTAAGGCTTTTTCCAGATATGTGAAACAACCATTCACGTTAGTCTCAAAATTACCAGATGTATAGTCCAACCCAATTAGAAGGGGTTGGTTTGGAGAAGCTTGATACACTGAATTGATAAGAGACATTTTGGAATAAAAGTCAGTAAAATTTAACACTTGCATGCTTTGATCCAGGCAGGTTCATGGCCTAGACTGGAGGCTAGAGGTCTTTTTATTCTTTACATTATTCTTTCAGGTGTAGTGAGAAAATTAAAAGCAAATTTGTGATAGATACATATACTAGAGTAAAAATTATTTATTAATAATTAAAGGATCATATTGAAGCTTGCTTTTATCTGTTTTGTTCTAGCTAGAATCATTGTTAAGTGATGCCTTCAAAGGGAAAGGATTTCAGAAAATAAGTGAAATGATACAAGAAAAAGACAAATATGTTCCTCAGAAGTGTAAGAAACCATTATTAAATCAACTTGACCAAGCTCTAAAAAAGGTAGGTAGGAAATTCTTAATTGCTGAACATTAAATCTGTTCAACTGTTTAGGCAGTCACAAATGTGAAATTATCTGCTTTAGGAATTGGACAAAAATGAATTTTGGAATGTTTCCCTACTGTTGAAATGCATTCAGCTGTACTGTAGAAGTGATCTTCAGGAAAATATAAATCTGCTTCTTCAGCAAGGATTGATACCAAAGATAAGTAACCTAGTACATTAATATCTTTGTTACTAATCAGTATCTAGCTTTTTACTTTCTTATCTACTTAATTTCCTTCTTCATAGTATGCAGTTTTTCCTAACATTCAGCCAAAATCTGCCTTTTTATAACTTCCAGGACCTGACATTTGAAAGAATGAAAAACAGGCTCATCTCAAATAAGATACTTCTTCATACGCTTAAGAAGAATATTACCAAACCCAAATCTCCCTTTGTAAATTAAATCCTTGTCCTTATTTGTATTTGTTTCAGTTTATCTGAATCCTTTTAAAGTATGTTGTCCAAAGCTAAATATAGTTCTCAAACTTGATCAGTGCAGAATACAATACAATACAACACATTGATTCACATGAGTTGGAAATGGAGCTTCTCTTGAAGCAGCCCAAATGCAATAACATTGATTCATATGTAGCCTATAAACAACTACAATTTCATATTCCTTTTCATAATGACCCCCTCCTGCCTTTTGGGGAAAGAAACAAATTTAACCAGATACAAGTGTGTATTGTGTAGATACATTGTGTAGCTGTGTGTTTCTTGACTGGGGCACAGAAAAAGTGCAAGGTGTTTACTTCCCAGTTCAGAACGAGGAACTTCATTAATGGTCTATAGAACTTGAAAATATAATTAGGGCTGTCTCAAGGTACTTTGCAGATTGAGAAGCATCAGAGGGAACTCTCCTTCTACCAAGTCAAACAGCAGACTACTGCGAGTTATTTGTTGGGGGCAAAAGATTTGAGAAATATCTTCTAGTGATAAAAGTACAACAGCAATAAATTAAATAACTTGTTGTCCTTTCAGGACATCCAACTTTTATATTGCCCAGTGGTAGGGTAGACCTTGTAAGTGGTGTGGTTGAAATATTTGCTTGTTTTCGTGCCCAACCTCCACCAAGTAGTAGTACTGAACCATAAGTTTTTGGCATGGTTTATTGACTGAACCATAATGAGCAGAAAATTTGTAGCACTAAGCCATGATAGTAAAGGCAAGGCACACAAATCACATTGTTACTTAGTGTGCTGGGCAAAGCCAGCAAATGAATGTGAGCTGGATGAGTGTCGTTGCAGTAAATCTATTTCCCCATGCATTTCAACAAAGAACACCAACAGTAACTATATAAGTTCTGCTAGAGAAAATTATCATTTTACTTATTGTTGAGCAAGCAAACGGTAATATTCACTGGTTCCAGTAAATATAATTCCTCTTTGTAACTGTATATTAAAATTTGGTGTGGAATTGGCTTTAGATGCTCATTTGATTTTTTCTTGCATGTATCTTCCTTTTTACATGGTTACTTGGTTTGAAAGGACAAGAGAATTTCTGAGCCTGATAGAAGTCAAAGAAAGCATATACTTGGTAAATCTTGTTGGGGACTTATGTGATACAACCTTGGTAAGCACATAGAAAGAACAACAAAACGGTTCCCTATTAATACTTTTCATTATAAAATGACTGACTTACAGATCTCTTTTTTTTTTTTTGACAGTCTTGCCAAAGTATGGGATTGAAAAGACTTTGGGGGTTCATTGATTTTTTTATGTGGTTCACTTAGGGAGCATGGCACAAATTCATCTTCCAGTATCACAGACGTAGCATGCTCCATACTCATTACCTGCTAAATATATTATATACCCCATCTGGCAAGTACTCTGGGAGTACTCACTAGAACATTGGGAGCAGTTGTCATTGATAAATATGTTGTCATAATGATGTAGGAACTGATTTCTCATCTTTTATCATGCAGTGAAGTCTCATTTTCACAGACTAATAGGGGGAAGGAGTATCAGTTGTCTCCCCAAACTTCTGAATTGAAGAGTGCATTATTGCAGCAACACAAATTGAATTATTTACATGATTATATACTGATAATATTAGTATACAGATTGCATAAAGTAACACAAGTGTTTGAAACTTCTGTACTCTTGCTAAATATCTTATATTGACTTTTAATATCTCCATTCTATCTCTTGTTCCTTCCCTTCTCTTCAACATCTTGCTTTTAGATTATTGGCAAAAGCAGCACTGAAGGTCAGTTACTAAATACTGTTATAATTACTGAACAGTCAAAGCGACATTCAGATTTTGTGACTGTAGTATATGCATATTGAGTTAAGTAGATGTACCTTTGAGTAAATATAGGAAGAGTATTTGTATATTTTATTGTTGGGTCTGCGTGAAAAGGTATTATGAGACTTTTTGAGGGGGAAAAACCATAAATAAGGCTGCAAACTTTATTAAGCTTAATCATTAAAATCCCAAAGCTAGTTAATTCCAGTGGCCCTGCTCTAGCTAATCAGTTAGATTATGAGGAGTCATGGGGCAATTTGTTGTTCCATATTATAATATTACATTAGACAGAAAGTATCTTCAAAAATTCAACCATGGATTTTTCTTCTTATAGCTTTACTTATTTCTTTTTATTTATTTATTTATTTATTTTTTATTTTTCCAAACTCTCCCCCATACATATACCGTGATATTTATCAGATATTAACATACATTCTTTTTACATTCTTATATATAAGATACTTTTAATGAAATAAATACATACACATGACTTTTGGTGTTGCTCGCCCATTTCCCCTTTCACTGCATCCCCACTTCTTCTTCTCTACCTTCTTTCTCCCTTCCTTCTCTTTCTTCCCTACTTCCCTCTTCTTCCTCTCCTCTCCTCTTCTCTTTCACCACTCTCTCCTCCAACCTTCCTACTTCCTTCTCCCCTCCTTTACTCTTTTCTCTCTCCTCTCCTTTCTTCCCTCTCATCCCTCTTCAGATACAATTCAGGGATAATGTCCGAGCAAC